AATTAAAAAGTTGAACAATAAAAAATTTAGTGATAATGTTGATAAAATAAAAAATATTTGATTTGCTTATCAACGGGATCAATTGAAAATCTTACTCGAATGAGAAATTCCTTTCCTAATGATGATGGCATATGACGATACATTAGATAAATAAATTGTAATAAATTGTGATTTGCTCTTCGATTAATCAAAAAACTTTTTTTTTTAGAAAAAAAAAAAAATCCAGCCATGTCTCAAAAAACGGTATCTTTTAATGTTGGAGGTACAACATTTGAAATCACTAAAGATCTTTTTAATGCTCATCCAAAGAGTACTTTGTATAAACTAGTAAATGAGTCATCATCATCGTTTGCTTCTCGTCTTAGTTCAAATAAACCTGCACAATCAATCTTTCTCGATCATAATCCATTAGCATTTAGCGTAGTATTAGATTATATTCGATATCATAGGTTATGTTTACCAAAAAATGTTGCAAGAGAAGTAGTTGAATTACAATTACGAGAATTTGGTCTCGACGATGATATTAATTTGATAGTACCAGATCAAAATGTTGCTAAAGTATTTGGTGATGCTAAATACGATGGTAAAGACGAGGTACTTAAAGCTAAGGGAAATAACGTTTTGCCTTCTTATGAACAGGCCTTGAGTGGATTTTCTGCCTCTTACGATTCGAATTCGGATAGGAAAAGAATGGGGAATGATGGAACTTCATTGAAAGATGACGTTATGATCTCTTCTCTCAGAAGGTATAACTTATTCTATTGTTTCTTTTTCCCTCTTTGAATTTTTTTTGTTGTAATTTTTGACATATTTTCCTACTTATTGGGATGGATACAAGAATTGATACGTTGGTTTCGGACGTGATTTTACCTTATCTTAAACGTCATGCAAAACGTGGGCATCACCAAGTGACGTTTTACTTGACACCAAACAACGTCACATCAAAAAATATTACAACCGAATTGGAACATATCGATAATCCACATGAATGGATTCATTTACCAATCGACTCATCCACTTTAGAGAATAATGACGACTTGGGAAATGATTTGCCTGATCTAAAATTTTTGCTTCAAAAAATGGATACGCTCGATCAAATTCAAGATTTTATTATTAGTAAATCCGGTGCCAAGGAATGCAATGTGAACAAAGTTGAAGTTATTTGTAGAAATGAAAATGAGTTTGGATTATTTAGTTCTAAA